GATTTTAGTAAGAAAAGAAAAACACAACAGTTGCTTTTATTTGACATCATCAAAAAATGAAAAGTGACGAAATTAAAATTTGCTAAATGTCAATTTTTTAAAAAGTTCAGATTTTAAACAAACAAATATAACAAAATATTGATCGATAAAAAATAATTATCACGAAACATGAATATTTAGTAAGGACAGTTCACAGCATATCATAATGACTAAATCAACATACCAAACAGAAATTATTCATGCATGCATATATACAAAGTAAATCAGGAAATATCCAAAAATTATATAACCAAATTAAGAAACTTGAAACCAGTCAACATTTTACAAATAAATAGGCATTATTAAAAAGATTGTTCAAAAATGGTAAAATTTAAGGCGACGACAAAAAAAACTGTAGTTTGTTTTGGTGTTGTGTGGTGCTAAGAAGCGAAAACAAACACACCACAAAAAAAAAATATTAAAAAGTCGCAAGAATAGTAGTCAGTCACCTACCTACAATTCAATTACTCTCAGGGCCCTAGCTTGCCTGTAATGATAACTCAACTCATTTATTTTACATATTTTAACGTTTTAATTTTACTGGAAGCTTTTAATTTATGTTAATGTTAATATTTTACTTGAAACTTTTTAACTAATGTTAAGCCCTAGCCTACCTACAGTTGTTCAACTCATCTCAATCCCTAACTTACCTATGAATTAAATTAAGTCCGGTAAAGAAAATAGAAAGTTGAAGAGAAACATAACAACAACGACACCGAATGAATGGATGTTGTGTATGTGTGTGTTGTATTTATGTGTGTGCGTGTATGTAAATGTGCGCGCGCGTACCCTCCAGAAACTTCTTCACCCACTACGGACGAATCTCCATTGCACCGACCATCATCTGACACGCACCAAGGAAATGAATTTTACCGGATACTGAAAAACAAAATTGAAAGAAAAAGTTAAATTTTTAAAATAAAAAACAAGCCATTGAAAAAAAGTAAGGAGCAACTTATCTTACCATGAGATTACCATCATGAAACGTGACTCCCACCACAACCCACCTCTGATCATTCTGTAGACAAATTTTTTTTATTGGCTTATTAGTAAATGAATGTTAAAACGAAAGAACAACCGAATAAATGATTGAGCGAATGATTGAGTGATTGAATGAATTAATTAACCAATCTATGATTCAATGAACGAATAGAATGAGTCAATTAATGGATGAATGAAAGATTGTGTGACAAAATGAATGAATGAAAAAAATAA